TCTCGAACATTCAAGGAAAACATAAGTAGTCACCAAAATGTATAATAATCTCCACATGATTTATAGCATTATAGGTCTTCACGATCCACCTTCTTAGGACTGCAGACCAGATATTTTTTTAGTACCACAAGTAGTAGTAGTAGTGATTTTAGTAGAAAATAAATGCAGAAGAATTGCGTTAATAAATGTCATGAAGTATGAATATCATCTCTATTGTCCTATGGATGCTAAAAATGTCCATCGATGGAGGAGGAGTTGGTGTGGTAAAGACGCGAACGTCAATGCAGTTTTTTAAGAGAATCACAAATTTGCATCGTAGGGATTTAGTTCGTTCGTACATGATCTTCGGTTCGTTGACGGGGTGTGTTTTGGCACATTGGCAGAGTAATCTATTAATTTGATGGTTACTTTGGGGAGAAGAAGAAGAGAATGGCGAAGTGAGTTTGTGTCTGTTGCCTTATTACTTGTTGCCTCTGTAGATAGCATTGGTGTAGACTCTCGGAGTGGTGGGAAACCTGACCCGAATCTAGTATGTTGGGTGAAGAGATTAGATGCGAATCCGAGGGACAATTTTCCTCGATTTGGATAAATTAATGCAAAGTTCTTGTAGTCATGCTTCTTTTATCCATGAGAGTAAATGTGTTGTGGATTTTGACCTTTGAAAGCATGATTTTACGAACGCCCTGTGGTCTCCTGCGTTTTTTACTTCTCGATGGGATTATTATGGGGGATTTATGGTGAGACAGGGTGGGTGAGAGTATTGAGGTAACAGCAGCAATGAGATGAAGAGAGTTGGCGGAGAGTTGCTAGGCTGAAGCGCCCAGGTTCACAATTGCTTTGATAAGTCGAGCCTTGCCAAGGCACCACTTGATGTGCATTGCTGCCTTGTCTTTCCACTGATGACAGACGGGTTGAACTGTACATTGTGTTATATTCAACCTTGCAACTTTGAGTGAAAATTAATCACCGAATAGCTGAAAAGGCCACTGAGAGTACAACCTAGCAGCCCGTTGAGGCAAAACTTCCAGTACGCACGAAGTCTCATTACTTTCACATTTATTAATGAAATTTTAACCTGCTTTTAAGGTATAATTAACGCGATTGAAAATAACTCAAAATCATTAAACGAAGTCACTTTTAGCTTCGAACTTTTCAATTTATCTTTGATTCGATATGATCTAATCAAATATTCTACTCATTTTTCCTCCTATTTCAATCCACATTTCTCTCTTTACATATTTTCAATTAGCCTTTCTGCACTTGAGTTTGTTCATCGCTTTCGTGAGTTCAAGATTATATGATAAGTCCATATGCGCTCACAGATTCTTTAGTCTTGAACTTGGGTGTGCAATAGACTTACCTCCACGTGGTGCACCCTAGGCAACGTATATTCATACGGCAAAAAAGTCTATTAACTGGCAGTTGACTTCAAACTACCATGACCCCACTGTATGTCATATTTGACTACTTACACATTACTCGCCTCATCTTTTTTCGACCTTTGCGTCTCTCTCTCTCTTTTACATCTTTAAAACACTCTCTCGACTTTTTTCACTCTGATGTTCCTTCCCCTCTGTGGGGCCTGAAGTGAACTAAAGAGCTGATGATAACTATCAAAACGCCTGCCATTTGATATAAATAAATAAATAGTCTTGAACTTCATGAAAAAGGGGTCATTTGCTGATATTGCAAAATTTATTGCACTCTATACACTTGCTACGCAATTAAAGAAGATCAAAGTTGGAATAAAAAAATTCTCATGTTTATTTGAGAAAATGAGAAGCTTAAAGACTGAGTCGAAAGAAATCATAATGACCACAAAACAGCACCATTCAATAGTATTGAAATTCTCAAAAGTGCAACAATTTTCAAGATTCGATTTTAACCTGCTTCCGAAGGTAGGCTTCGAGGAAGTAGGCCAGACAACTGAAGTGACTGGATTTCACTGGTGGTAACTTGCTGACTTCAAACCAATCAGCTTTTGAAGAGGTGGTGGTAAACAGCTAAAAGATGATGCTTGAAAATAGTACAAGGATTGAGAAGATAAGTATGGATATATAACATATATTAACTCACTAATGGGATGATATCCCAGAAACTGAAGTTCGACGTAATACGGGCGCAAATGGCAGTGATGTCGATCCATGCATTGTCGCAGTTCACCCAGTCCTCCAGCTCACCCAAGTGGCACTGTAAGTACAAAACAAAGTAAATTCGTTTCTACTTAAATCTTGCTAAATAACAAAATAAGAATCACTTACCAGACGAATGGGGCATTTGTCAAATTCTTCAACAATTAAACGGTAAATCAAAGATTGATTTGAGTCTAATTTCGAAGCTTCATCAACCACCGAGTGCATATAAGAGAGGAACAGACTGTGAAGGCACCCCACTTTATCACATGCGGCGGTATGCTTGCAGATGAACTGAACAAATAAGAACTTTATTAAAACACTGAGATTTTACATGAGGGTATTCCTAGACTTCCTACCCAAGGAAGTTGGTGCTTTCGTCGTGGACAGCTCCTGAGCAAAATTCTGCGTATTACTTCCTCTTTTCCAGAATCAAATTCGTAGTCGGACACGTTTTCTTCCAAAATCAACACAACAACAACTGCCGAATTCGGTCCGAAAGAAGGCAGAAGGCCTCGACCAGCTGCACCCGTCCTTCCAGTGGGGTTTTTCAGCACTGCCATTGACTTTCGTCCTTTTGTGTTCCTCTCTTCTACCTCTTCTGTCGTCCACTCTGGTGTAAAGCCTTCAGCACTGTCGAGTATTATTGGTTCGTAATTGGGAAACTCCTCCTATTAAAACAAAAGAGAAGTTATTTGAGTTTTATCCATATCATTATTATGATCATAGTAAATTGAAGGGTCTCTTGAAATCGTAGAAAAAAGCTACAAAAAGTCTTCACTTGAAGCTAATGGCAATGAGTCTGGACCGTTTTCATCGGTGTTCTTGTCGTCAATGCGTACGACTACAAATGAATCATTATTGCGAATGCTTAGTTAGCATAATGCATAGTCTGCTCAAAAGTGAGGCTCCTTTATGACACTGCTCAGTGCAGTGTAACTTTCCCATCATTTTGTGCATCGAATTAAGTTGTGACATTCATTATCCTCTGGCATATCATGCCTAAGGACCCACTTTCTCTAAATAAAAAGTGGTAAATTGAATGAATGGCCTTAATTCTTACTCCCTAGTGTCCGAGTGCCCACATCTGCACCACAAGAGAGCCTGTGGGAAAAGAGAAGGAAAATTGTGTAATTGAAAGCAGATTTTGGGTTAAAATGTATAAACTGGGAGTTCTGAGATTAAAAAGTGAAGTGGATTCAAACCTACCGCCCATGGAATGAAGCGAGTAAGAGAATGAGGCGTTGTGTCATCTTGAGGGTTGCTGAAGTAGATCACTTTGTGGTCGTCATAGGTGAATCGTATAATTGACAACCTCTCGAGTTCGGCATCTGTTGACTTGGACAAGCGGAA